TGCCAGAAGGGGCACTGGGTTTCTACATGATGTGTCCGAAGGTAGCTTCTTTCTTCTTTTCTCTCCTCTGAGGAGTGTGGCCTTTAGGCCTGTGCCAGGCCTCCCACCTTGGGTCTCCTCACTCTACCCCAGGCCAGCATGCCTGACCAAGCTCAGGCTCCTGTTCTCTCTGTTCTGGCCATTGTTGGTTCTGCCTGACCAACTCTGACACCCACTATCGGGATTGTATGCCCAGTGATGATAAAAGGCTTCTCTGTGAACTTCGATCGAAGGGACAGCCATCCTGTCCAACTGTGAAAATGCCACATAGTTTTTGACCTTTCTTCTTTCCTCTTGCCCTCTCCCTCTGTTAGGAGCCGGTTGCCCTAGAAGGAAGGGATAAGTATAGCTCTTTTTAAAAAAAAAAAAAAAAAAAGTTGTTGTTGATAGTATTAGGGATACTATAACTCTTGTCTACCAACGTAAAGAAGACTGCACATTAGCTCTGCTGGTGTTGCTTGGTGTTTGAGCGTCAACCCATGAACCAAGAGGTCACTGGTTTGATCTCCAGTCAGGGCACATGCCTGGGTTGTGGGTTTTATCTCCAGTAAGGGGTGTGCAGGAGGCAGCCAATCGATTATGATTCTCTGTCATCATTGATGTTTCTGTCTCCCTATCCCTCCCTCTAAAAAAAATGAATAAAAACATATTTTAAAAAAAGAAAAAGAAGCAGCCTGCACTTTTAAAAGCCCCGTCTTTCAGAAGGACACCTGCACCCCGTGCACCGGCTCCTCTTCACCGAGTGGGCTTCCGGGCCTGTCACAGCCTCAAAAGGCCTCTCTTTCTTTCCTGTGCTGTTATCAGCACTCGAGTCCTGTGAGTCACAGGTTAACTCACTTGAGGCTTAATCCTCTGAAGAAATTACCCTCCAGAGAAGCAGGATTTGGGAGGAACTGAAAGTTGATTGGGAAGGACACTCACAAACACGAGAGTTGTCTCCAGGTGGATCTCTGGGAGACATTTTTTAAAAAATGTATATTTTTATTGATTTCAGAGAGGAAGGGAGAGAGAGATAGAAACATCAGTGATGAGAGAGAATCATTGATTGGCTACCTCCTGCACGCCCCCTACTGGGGATCGAGCCCACAACCCCATCATGTGTCCTTGACTGAAATTGAACCCTTGACCCTTTAGTCCCCAGGCTGACACTCTGTTCGCTGAGCCAGACCAGCTAGGGCAACATTTTGAAAGGTCCGACTATTCAAGGTGAAGGGGAAAACCTCTGCTGAAATAATGATAGTATCATTTGTTGCCAGGCAGTGTGCAAAGGCCTTTAATGTATTGTCTCATTGAATACAACCCACCTGTTGTCATCCCCATGACCAAATGAGGAAACCGAGGCCCAGATGCCCACAGCTAATAAGGGAAGAAGATGGCATCCCTGGGATAAAAGTGCGCGTCTGTCACAACGCTCTGGCCTGGCCAGACTGTAGGTACTGGATAACGTTTACCTGAGTGAGTGAAGTAGCTGGGGCACTGAGTAAATGCCCGTGAGGAGGGGCAGGACTGAGGAGGGCGCCTTCCTGCCTCCTGCAGAGGAACAGCACCTGCCTTAATGCTGGGGGTTGGGGGACTTGCCAGGGCCTGTCTTTGTTGACAAGAAAGTTAGCCATGTTATTATAGCATTTCCCCCAAAGAAGCCTGGCTCTGACATTTCTGTAATCCCCGGGGAGGAAGAGGAAGACTCACACTTTCCTCATCTGTCCCCCTGCTGCTCTGGTGTTCCTGGGGCTCACACTTGCAAAAAATACCCTGCTGTTCCCCTCCCCAGGATCACACAGGTGAGGCCAGGCTGGGAGGCCAGGCTGGGAGAAGCGATTGTCATTTTGGAAAACTGCCTGAGTAGTTTCCAGCGTGGACCACACACCGGAGGGCCTTATTCAGGGGAAGGAACTGTTGCATCCCCCATTGGCTAAGGGCAGAACCAGGTCTTCTGTTAGGGTTCTCCTCCATTGTGCTGGGGCCTGGGTGCCAGAGGGGCCTGTTTGTTGTTCCAAATTTCCAATTTCTGGGAAAAATACTTAGTGTCGTCTCATTTAAGCATCCGCTTAGATCAAACAGTAGTGACCAGGAGGCCAGATCCTGTGGTTCAGACATGGTCACCAGGAGCACCCCCGCCCCCCTTCTTATAGGAGAGTGTAGGAAGAGCAGGGAGCATTGGGCG